AATAGCCATCCACCCCACCCCATGCTGCTCTGCATGAAGTGGTGTTCTCACCGCCATTTCCACAGACGGTGGCCAAGTGATGTTCTGAAGGCTGTCTTGGGGACCTCAACCACTCACCTGGGCTTGGGGGTTACTTTTTCCCTTTAAAAAAATCACTGCAGATGTTAAATATCTGACTGAAATAAAAACAGCCAAACGACAGGAAAGATGTTTTCCTGAGTGGGTTGTTGGAGTCCTAACAGTGCTCTTCGGTTTCAGCAACGTGGGAAGAAATAGTTTGTCAGCAGCATGCTTCAGGAATAAACCGGACAGTCGAAGTGGGCTTTTCCACCCTCGAATTATCAGCAAGCCATAGCTTATTGATGCGTTCATTCGCAAATGATTTCTTAGGACTTCTCGTCTCTTCTTCAGTGCGTTATTGGCAAGATTTAACAAAGAACAATGCCCACAGGTATTTGCCTCTAACGCGGTTGAAATAAAACCCGGACGAGAACGATCCATTCCATGGGAATTTCCCCAGCAGGGTGTACAGAGCAGTGTCTTGTGACTTATCTAAAGGATGCTATCTTCTTTGAGGCTTTTGGCGTGTCCCAGAATTCTCCAGTCGGCTTAGGAGTTTCTCCTTCAAGGAATAAATTATTCCCAGATGGTAATCCATTTTGACCGAGGCGGGAGATACTGTTTCCTCGGAAAACGAAGATGCACGCTGACTTATCCTTCCAAACTAATGAACAGAAATAGAAGGTTTATCCTGTCTCGTCTAAAAGTCACTTTCAGTGTATTCAGATCACCTCAAGTATAAACATTTAATGCCAGGGAGCATTTCACTTTCTTGACGGTGGAAATTAATGCATCACCAGACTCTGGAAGCTACAGTTGGAAAATGTCTTTTAGTTTTCCCTCTTTTTCTCTCCGTGCCGCGTTGCCAGCAGAGCGTTGAGTAGTCCTAAGCGGCTCCATGGAGGCGCCGTCCTAGTACGTGAGCTCTCAGTCCTACAGGTAATCACAGTCCGCCCCCGTTTAAAGGCCATCAGGGATCGGGTGTTGCATGCTTTGTGCAGAAGTCTCCCACTGTTTGTGCCCATCGGTCGGGGGAACAGTTGGGTGTCACTGCATTCTTTCCACAGTCTGACTGGAGAGAAGAGGGTTCTCCCAGGTGAGACACTGCTTCAGAGTCTATTCTGTATACTTCTGGGTATTCCCAGTTCCTCTTTTGCCTGACTTCCAACGCTGTGGTTCTCAGTCTGGGCGATTTTGTCCCCGGGGGACATTTGGCAACGGCTGGAGAAAGTTTCCGTTGTCAGCTAGTGACTGGGTGCTCCTGGCATCCAGGCAAGCCGCCAAACATCCTGCGATGCACAGGACAGTCCCACGCAACAAAGAATTACCTGGAAAAACGTCAGTAGTGAGTGCCAAGGTTGAGAAACTTGGGACTGATGCAGTGCGCACCCTAACTCAGGTTTCGGGGGTTTACTGCTGCTCCCCAGGTTTGCACATGCGTTTACTTCCATATGTGGCCCAGAATTCCTGTCCTAGGAATCTAATTTTCTGTCCTCCTCAATTCTCTCCTGAAAGTTCTTCCCGTTAGGTGCTGGTACTTCAAAGGAGTCCTTTGTAATGTTTTTCCCTCTTAAAATTGTTTCCTTTTATTCTCTGGGATCCATTTTTCTAGCTCAGTAAGGAAAACAAACTTATTTGCAGTTTGTTGCAAAGTGGGTGATCTTTTTCATGTCACTCGACTTCTCTTTGCTGCCCTAGTTTTCTCGTCTGAAACATGAAGGTAATGATATTATTTCCTACAGTTGTTAGAATATCGAAGGAATATCACGTATGTCAGTATTACATATTAGTAACACTAATAATTACGCATTACTGTTACGTATATTGGCAAGCGTACGAATATATGTAAAGTGCTCAAAACCGTGCCGGTCATATAGTGGGTAACATGTTCTCTCCTTTCATTGCAGAATTTCTTACCATGCTTTACAATGTTCTCTTTATGTCTATAAAATATGAAACACGTTCTAAGCCCTTCATGTTAGACCAATGCTTTGAATGTTTAATTTCTTTTAGTACATGAATCAGCCAACATTTGAAACACTAGTACTAAAAGGAAATTCAAAGAGTTGTCGAACCATAATTGTGAACTTTGATTGTCAGGTTGGTCTCACACCTCTTCTAACTTTTCCATCTGGTCGGCATGGACTCTGAACTCCGTTAGGGCTTAGTGTAGGTTGAACTTCAGGGAACTCGGGTCTTTGTTGGCCATTCATTTACCCGTAGACTGCGACAAGGAAATCCACCTTGACCTAAATTGAACAGGAAGAAGCTCTGAAACTCTCCAGTTTCCACCATTACCTACCTGGGGCTGATGTAGCACCTAAGAATGCAGACCTTATAGTCTTTGAATTTCTATCTTAGAGGAATCTGGGTGACAATTCAATCATCATCATCGGTATCTGGCATAAAATCCCCGGCTTATAGATGGGGAAACTGAGACTTAGAAGCTAACCTTTTGAAGAACATAAATAACAGCAGAGCTGGAACAAGAGAGCGGGGCTATATGGTCTTCTAATGCTCATTGCTGGGATTTTTTTTCCCACTAACCTTGACTCCCTTCTCACCACCTCATTTTTCTCAACATGCTTTTGTTTCTCCCTCAGTAGCATTATGTGTCTTTGCTATCTGTTCTTCGTATTGTGACTTTAAGATGTTGACCACTTGGAGGGGGTGGGGTGCGTGTCTGGGTGGCTCAGTCGGTTGAGCATCCACTTCTTGATTTTGGCTCAGGTCATGATCTAGCAGTTCGTGGGATTGAGCCGTGAGTCCCGTCTCTGTGCCGACAGCATGGAGCCTGCTTGGGATTCTCTCTCTCTCTCTCTCTCTCTCTCTCTCTCTCTCTCTCTCTCTCCCCCTCCGCTGCTTGCATTCTCTCTCTCTCAAAATAAATAAACATTTAAAAACAAAGGAAGGAAGGGGGAAAATACTGATCACTTGGTACCAAATTTTAATGTGTCACTCTTTTTATCAGTATTCCTACATTAATATGACCAGAACCAGTGTTCTCCATCTCAAGTAAATGATATCACCGTTGGCCTAGGTACTCAGGCAAAAACCTGAAATCACCCTTGATTCCTCATGTTTTTTTCCACCCCACCAAGTCCTAAATCCTGTCATTTATACCTTCAAAATATGTGCCAATTCCTATCGCTTCTTTCCACCTCCAACATAACCACTCTGGCCTGCAATGTCCAATAGAACTCTCTGGACAGTAGTGACGCTCTGTATTCCCTTCTGTCCGACATAGTAATCACTAGCCACCTGCGACCATTGAGCATTTGAAATGTAGCTAAGTGTATCCGAAGAACTGAATTGTTTTTAATGACAGCTTTTCAATACATAATTTACCTACAATTCACCCAAATGCTATGGTGTTTAATATATTCAAATAGTTGTGCAACTGTCACCTTAAGCAATGTTTGAGCATTTTAACCTCCCCCAAAAGAAACCCCATACCTGTGAGCAGTTACTTTTCATTTACCCCCCTAAAAAACCCACCTCCTGTCAGTCACTAATCGACTTTCTGTCCCTATAGACCGGCCCATTCTGAACAGCTCAGGAAGTACAATCCTACAATAGATGGCCTTTTGTGACTGGCTTCTTTCACTTAGCACGAGATTTTCAAGGTTCACCCGCGTTATAGCATATTTCAGTAGTTTATTCCTATTTATTGCCCAATAATGGAATAGTAGGTGTTTTGACATTTTTCCTTCCTTTTAATGAAATTCTGCCTAAGTTTTCAAGTCTCTCCCCTACGCTTCGAGATCATTCCTTTGTAAGTCTGTGGCCATCCCTCTGTGGATAACTCCTATGTTCCCCAACAGCTGTCCCTTAGTTTAGGTGTCTATAATGCAGCCCATAAAGTCACTTTACAGTTCATCTTCCCTTATATCCACAAATTTACCTATCTAGAATCAGGAGAAAGGCCGTGCCCTGGAGCTTGGTGTAGGGCCCCATGAGCCCCAGATTCTGCCTATGATGCTACTCAACCATTTTGGTGTTTTAGGAAACTGAACAGATCTTGAATCTTTCATGAGAGTCAGGTTCCTCAAAGCAGATGTGTAAATCAGCAAGCCCAAATATGTATGGCAGCCACTGGGCTGGAAATTTGAACACAAAAATCCCTATGTACTTGGCCTGTAGGCCACAGATCTAAATTTGAGTATAGAAGGACATAAGAGGAGATTGGCAGTGGCATCCAAAGAAACCATTCCTGATGTTGAAACAGCCTTCAACCCCTCAGGATAATAACCAGACTTTTCACAGCAGGCAAGTTAGACAGTTCTATTAGAGTTCAGCCTCACTGATTGTTTTATCCATTGTGATAGTCGTCCCCGAAAAGAAAAAAAGTGGAAAAGATTTTTAAAAAATTGAAGCTTCAAAACCCTCGTTGTATTTTCTAGATGTCTCTCGCTGGATTGTTCACATTCCTCCAATTGATAGACTTCACGCGGTTGCATACGAGAACATGAGTAGTGAATTCTGAGTTCAGTAATCATGAATTGATTTGTATTCATATAATCATCTTCCTTTATTGGCCTGTAATTCCAACTTAGCAAAAATTAAAAATGCAGAGTAAGAGAACACTCAAAAAAAGTCTAATGCTGGCGTTCAAAAAGATAGACTATTATGTCCTTACTCTTCCCTGGATTTAACCCAACAAAGGGACATTTTAATCTTTATAAAAATGTAAATGTCAGTGCAGTTCAAGTGTTTGGTTCAGTATGTTGGAAACCTGATTTTGTTTGCTTCATTTGGAGAAAATACCAGATGAAAAAACTCACCGTTAGAAGTAGGAGGCATTAGAATCACAGATGATGCAATTTTTGAAATTCCCTTACGATTTAATAAATGTTTCCAAAGTTCTGTTTTTGTGTTCTGAACAAGACAGATTGCAGTGCTCTTCCCCAGAAGTTAGTAATAACTTCTTTGTTTTTCAGATACCCCGTTGGCCAGTGGCCAGGCCACAGACTATTTATTTGTTGGAAATATTGTTTACACGGTAAGTTTATCTCTGTTTACGGAACCGTTCTTAAGTGGCATATGTGTGGGCTTGGCCTCTGAAAACCCTTTATATAAGGCCTTCCTTCATGTTATTTGTTTCAAATCGTTAAACCACATAGTATAGATTCCTTAGAGTTCAAAACGGTTGTGAAATGCTTACCTCACTTTTTTAGTGGAGATTTGACAGAGTCGATTTCTGGACAGGTGACTAACAGATCACCCCATTCTTCAAATGACACTCTCACATCTACCTGTGAAAAAGGCAACGCCGAGAAAGGTTATTTTCCCTAAATCTTTCCAAGCTAAGAAAAGCACAAAAGTAACTCCAGCTGCCTCTGGAGGGGAGATTTGCGATTCTCCTAGAAAGTAAAAATAAGTCACCGAGGATAATACGTTTTCCCCAATTCCTTTGTTTTCACAGTATGTTGTTGTCACTGTGTGTCTGAAAGCTGGTTTGGAGACCACAGCTTGGACTAAAGTAAGTTTTCTCTGGAATTGTTTCTCTATCCTTATAGGTATTTTGATGGCATGCGATCTTTTTAAGCCTTGGGAAAACAATCAATATTTGGTTTACTCATTTAAATTTTGCACGTAAAAATCGTCTTTTTATCTTTATCAGGGCAAATTTGCAACCCAAAGTTTTCTGATGACTCATTTGCTTGGCACTTAGTAACAGCTCTAAACTCTTAACAGTTTTCTCATTTCAAATGTATATGCGTGTTTTTAAAACAGAACAAATACACACAGAAAATACAGAAGGACAAAAAGGAGAATTTTTAACTTCCTTCACTTTACCACCAAGAGACAGTTGGTATTAACACTTTTCTGGATAACATTACAGACTTTGTTCCATGTGTATTTTTAATAGGAGAACGCATTACAGAGCGTATAGATAGTTTGGTGATCTTTTTTCAGTTAAAAATATATCATGAACATTTTCCATACCTAAAAGTATACTTGCACAAAACCTTTCTTCATGATTAAAGAGTATTAAGTTTTATCGCTATCCAACATTTAATCATTCCCCAACTTCAGACGTTTTGGTGACTTGCCACGTTTCAGGATGATAACCCGTGTTTCATGTTTGTCTGTCACTGCTGTTTTCATAGGCTTCTGCTTCTGGGAAAGTGAGGGAGGAGGTTGGAGCTGGATGTGGAAGGAGGGAATCTATTAATAGACAATGGCAGTTAATCCAAATGAGAGGTGATGGTGGCTTGACCTGGGGTGCTACAGGAGGAGGTAGTGAGAAATGGCCAGATTCCAGATGTATTTTTTAAAAAAGCTAGCAGCCCTTGATGATGGATTATATCATGGGGTGCGGAAGAAAGGATGACATCGAGCATCATCATATTAAGGGGACAGAGGAGAAAAAGCTAACAGCTCAGTAGGCACTTAAAGGATGGTTAAGACGTAATATCCATCCCAGATTTGTAAAAAGGTCTTTGGAAAATGAAGAGAACGGCCGAAATCTCAATAAGTAAGAACATCTTGTTCTTTTTGTCCATTCAGTGCTTTCTTACTGGATTAACGAGGCCTGGCTTTATGTAGCTCCAAGTTGGAGCAGACGCTGGTGAGGACCAGCGGGGGGCCTACTAAAAGTACGGGATGGGTCTAGGAGAAGGTCAGCTGCGGCAGCAAAAGCACCTTGATCTTAGTTTGGGGCCACCGGTTACTTGAAATCATCGTTAAATATTCTGAGACAAGGCCATTAGAAGATGGAACTTTCCAATGACTAGTGATGGGTCAAAATGTTTCCCATAAGGAAGGGCGGCTTGGACACAGGGATTCTGCTGCAGGTGGGGTTCAGGTGGCTCTCCTGGGCCAGCGGACAAGCTCTGCCTGAGCGTGTGTTTCCTTTTGCAGTTCAGTCATCTGGCTGTCTGGGGAAGCATGCTGATCTGGCTGGTGTTTTTTGGCGTCTACTCAACCATCTGGCCCACCATTCCCATTGCTCCAGATATGAAAGGACAGGTCAGTGCTGCTAATTGCGAATGGGCTTTCCGTGTCCAATGTCCGATGGTGATGATGCTTTCCGTGTGTGGGCTTCTCGGGTCTCGTGACACTGATGAACTTCAGGAGAGGCTGGTATTGCCTGCTTCCATCAAAATTCAGAGGGAGGGAAGTAAACCAGATCAGAGCACCTGGAAGAGGTGGTCTTGTCCACACCAACGGCATCTGAAATTTTAACTACTGTAAGTAGTCAGCTTAAATCCGCTGACCTACCTGGCGTGTCCTCATTTCCATAATGGAATGTGTGTTGATTACACACAGTTCTGATGTGTACAGGTAGTTTTTGGCCCTTGGAGAACTGGAGTTGTTTTGAGTCATTCACAATCCAATGATTATGCTGATGGTAGTTGTGAGGTTAAGTGTATTGTTATTCTCTGACTGATAGTCTCCTGTGCAAGATAAATCTAACACCTCTATGAACCAGATCATTAATTCACCAGAATATCTTCTTGTGCATCTCTTGAACTAGAGAGGCTGAGGTTCAAGACCTATACACTTGTTTGAATTGTTTTAATATTTTCTTTTCTTCTGTATTTGTCCGGTGTTTGAGATTGAGCCATCAACGGTGATGGATCTTAGAGTCCCACAGTATTGGTTCTTGAGAGGAGTTTGACAATCCTAGGTTCCAAACCACCCCAGGTTACAAATGAAGCCATGCAGGCCCTGACACTCCAGACTGACCCTACAGACCCCATTTCGGGGTCTGCCCATAGCCAGAGCTGCCCAGAGACCCCCAGCAAGTGGCTGCCCCGGGCCCTGTGCTTTGGAGGCCTCCGTGATGGCTGTCCCTGGCTGGGTATGTTCCTCTTCGCAGGGTGAGGAGCCCATGGTACACAGAGCCAGAACCCCTATGTCTAGTCCCTTCCCTGGGTTCCTAGGACCCTGAGTTTCCTTCCCAAACAGCCACAAAAGCCAGCTTCCCAGGCCTGCCTGGCCCTCTTCCCAGATCCAGGCCTGTGTGAACATCCCTTGCCCCAAGGGGCAGCCAGGTGCCAGGTATGTGCTCTGGGCCAGCTGGGTGTTTGCATCTTTAGACCCACCCCCATGTGCATGAGGCATGGGATGAGAAGAGAAGGCCTGGGGGTCAGGGGTTTCCACTCGTGTCCCTGCACCAGGAATACATATTTTAGGGACAGGCCTGTCTGTGGCACAGCCGACTGCTGTCTTAGCCTCACTTACTCTGCCGAAATAAGCCGAAACTCCTGGGTCTACCCAACGTGAGATACATGTGCAGCGGCCGTGTTGTGTGAGATAATCCGGGGGTGGCATTGCTTGTCTTTTTTGCTTGGCGAATCAGTAGTCGGCGTCCCAGGGTGTCCGGAACCTCCCCTGAATGTGGGTGCTGAGCAGGGCAGACGTGTTCTTCAGGAGTAGGCTTGTATGTCTCCTGATGCATCTTTGCCATCCGTAAGCAACGAGGCCAAACATACCTCTTCCAAATCCGAGTGACAGAGGAAATTCCAGAAGATGGTGTAGCAAGACAAGCATCTCCCGGCAAAGATACTTTGTACATTTAAAGAAATCAGTTCTACTTTAAAGCAATGGGGTCCATCCCCAAAACAAACCAAGTGCCTAGAATATCTGCTTCACATTCTCTTCCTTCTGGGCGAGGGCAGGTGTGGTCTCATGACTGTTTCTCTCGGGGAGTTTTTATGGTGCAGAGAACAGCTGATTGCTGAAGAGACTTTCTTATGTTAGAGAAAAGTGATGGCTGGCAGAATGGAATCCGTCCACGCGTGGCCGGCCAGCAAAAACTGCTAGTTTGGAAACCCCTCCCGGCATCTTCAACAAAGAGAAGCTCGCATGAACCCCCTCTGTACGCATTTGTAGCCGCAACTCCAGTCCAAATGTGCACGAGCTAGTCTGGTTTCCAACTCTCACTCCGATCAAGAGGTTACTTTCCACATTCAGAGAGGCCACGTTTGCCGGGCAGACCCTAACAGGCCACATTTTCACTATCCAAGTTGCTTCCTGTGTGAAGCCTCGACTGAAATTTCTGTCATTGAGGACCTTTCAAACACATTTAACCAGGTAGTTCTACCACCCCAAAGCAAAGAAACGATAATATCAAACCACATCTCACTTTGGCATACACATGGTTTTATTTTTCACGTATTCCCTGTCGTTCTAACTTTTTTGTGGGTTGGTTTGCGTGAGGCAAAGGAAGTCTTGAAATCCAACATGGCTGGTCGGGACTGAGGTTCTCGCTAGACGTTGAATGACATGATTAATGTAGTTTTCATTGTCACAGGATTTCTAAGTCAGTATTCTGCTGTCTGTGTTTAAAGGGCTGTTTATTATCACTAGTCTTCGTCTGGGGGAGACCTCTTAGTGGGGACAGGTGTCAGAGAACAATGTCAGAGCCAACCCAACGCTCTTTCACCTGCTGTCTGCTGCCCAGTGGTTTGTTCATCCTTTGAACACTTTTGAAGAAGCCCTTGCATGGAGAGTGGCCAACACTAGCCTGAGGTCTCCCAAAGACCTCCTGCTGACTCCGAAGGGATTTCAGGCTATCGTAAAGAAAGATGGGAGCCGGGCTCAGGTACAGGCAGAAATGGCTCCTTAGGGTTACTGTCGAAAATGTGCCCAAGCCGTGGTCATCCCTTTGGTTCTAGGTTGGTATTATGGACTCAGTGTTTGTGTCCCTAACCTCTGATTCACGTGGTAAAGCCCTAACCCCCAGTGTGATGGTATTTGGAGGTAGGGCCTTTGGGAAGTTATTAGGTCATCGAGGGGATTAGTGCCCATAGAAGAAGGGGCCAGAGAGCTAGCTTACTTGGTTTCTGCCACGTTGAAGCTGTGATGAAAAGTTAGATGTCTGCACCGGAAAGACCAGGCCGGCACCCTGATCTCAGACGTCCAGCCTCCAGAACCATGAGAAATAAATGTCTGGGGCTGATAAGCCACCCCATCTATGGTATTTCCTTATACTAGCCTGAGCTAAAACCATTGGTGAGTGCTTAGGAGTGAGGGGTACTCTGGGAGAAGACTGTTGTTGTTGCTGTTACATGTTTTTAGTGACTTGTAGAAACCTTTTTTTGTAGTTTCCAAAGCGGTAGGATTTTGGCAAATGAAGATGGTTCTTTTGAGCTTTGGAATTCAACTAGTAGTGGCAAACGGCATTTCTCACTGAGGAGCCCAAGACAGATACCCCGCATAAAACATTCTGTCTATTCATAACATCCTAAACTGTTGAAAAGATGCATTGTTTCTGCTGGGGTTTCCTAACAGATTTAGTTCAATATTTCTTTCTTTGTCTCATCCATTATGTTTGGAGTTTTTCTCATGGCGGGGAGAAGGCAGGTTTTCCCTCGAGGGCAAAGGAGGAGAAGGCTCTAGATGAGAGTGATTTTCCACCGTCAAAGGGTCTTTATCTTCCCTCCAGTACCTCATGATATGGTACTCGAAACCCAGCCAGACAGTGAGCCAGGAAGTCTCAGTGGCAGTTTCTGAACTCAGAGAAGTCATCTGAAAATATGCAACATTTGTGGGATTTTTAAGGGACACCCTGTTTTTCTATTTTTCTAGGCCCATGCTAGATCGAAAGCGAATTAAAAACTCAAGTTGCGTCTATCCTGGTTACTGGCAAAGTCCCCTACCAGGGAAAATATGTGCTGATGTTTTCCCATAGAGGACCGTATGTTTTTCTTTCTCCCAGTAGCATAACCATGGGTTACAGGCATCTCCATAATGGGTCCCCAAAGCCAGTGCTTGAAGCTGGCTTAGCCCAGAGTTGCCTGCTGAAGGGAGAGCTTTCAGTTAGAGAGAGGAAGACTTTATCTAAAACTGGATCGGGAAACATATTTACATTTTCTTCACGTATTTCTCAAGGCTTTTAACTTGGGGAGTATCTGAGGGGATATCATCTCATTTGACCTCTGTGTAAAAGTCAAGAGACCTACCCTAACTAGCTTTATAACCTTTGGTAAGTCCCTTAGTCCGCGTTAATTTCCTTATCGGCAAAGTCAGTGTAATATTACACTAATTACCTCAGAGGCACATGGTACAGATATAACAAGAAAACCTGAGGGAGTTAGAAGACATGCCTACTCTTTTTCCTGGAGTGACCAATTATTTTTGAACTTTTGCGAACAGAGATATTGTACACTCGGCTCCCAATTCTTTTGGCCAGAGGATTTTAACGTTTTATAGGTTCTAGATGTGATAGTTTTCCGTAAGTTCAGGTGACTACCTGCATCTGAATCATCTGGGTTGCCTATTAAAAAACAACCTCCTCCCCACCCAGAAAATATGTTCTTCCAAGGCACGTGCGCACGCGCGCGCGCACACACACACCTACACAATATCACAGTCCCTGGGTGTGTAGCCCCAACCTCTGAATTTTAATAAACCTTCAAGCTATTCCTCCCTTTAATGTTTGAGAACCACTGCTGTAAGACACCTAAAATATTACCCCATCAGTGTTCGAGTTATGCAGGGTGTTACAGGGAGAAGATGGTATGTTTAAAATATTCACAAACGATTTATGTCTCATGGGCAGTGCTTATGTAAGACATGGCGGGCATCGCCAGTGACTGCTTTAAGGCAGCTAGCTTTCCAAATAGAGAATTATACCAGAGGACATTACATCGTTCACCATGGAAAAATATTCCTCATCAACTTTGGTGCTTTTCCTTTAACGTTCTTTTCATTGCTAGTCAAAGAGGAGAAAAAAACCTTTCACTTCAAAGCTTACAAACCGCTAACTCTGTAGTGCCAAGCTCCAGGCTTCAGCCAGTTTCTGGCCTATGACAGGCTTTTTTTTTTAATCCTAAATACAGGAATGGGTTTACGTTTGAGTTTTATACCCACACTCGTGTATACACAGTGCAAATCCCAACGGACTAACAGTCTACAGAATGGAGGTATCATTGCTGACCAGGGTTGGTCAAAGAGATCCACTGCTCATCTTCCCTAACTGACTGCTTTCTCCTGGACTTGGCAACCTAGTAAGATCTCAG